TGGAGGAATGTGGTGCTGATAGATCAATGTTCAGTGTTTCTGTGAAGATTTACCCGTGACTATACCAATAGGATTTGTTCTCCACGAAGTAAAAGAAGGGGACCTAAACAGCCCGAAAACAAATCCCTGTTCCAACTGAGTATTGATTAGTTCATCTGGATCTGCTAGTGCCATTTGCAAATTATTGCATTCCATCGTACCAGATGGATGATACCTGTGTGAAACCATTGTGACAATCCATCAGTGACAAATGTAACCAGATGTTCTGATGGGTGGTATTATAATAAATCAGCAAAATACGTAACATTAATGCAAGTGAGGTAAGGTTTAGGTAACATTTTATTAGGGCACATAGATTTGGCGTGAGCCTGGAAACAGTAAGAGCACACGTGGAACAATCTGCAAGAACTGAACCCACAAGTCCCTGCATTAAATTATTACAAATCTGCCTAAAAAGAAAATGTCCCTAGCCAGCTTATGCTTGAAACCTTTGGCTGATTTTGTCATAGTGTAAGGGACCTGCTAAACTTCTGCCGGGTTAGTTGAGTGTGCTGTGTACGTGCAAACTGCTCATGCCTGAGTTCTGAGGCCTGCAAAATGCCTGCAGAATAACTCAGTATCTAATCTACTCCAATCCATAATGAAGTTAAACTGAGCTGCAGCCACTTTTGCAGAAAAAGAACGGTGGTAGTCATAAAAGCTGTACCACCATATTTGTGCCTCAGATCCACCAATTTGTGCATATAAACATCAAATTCCTCTCTTTTCTCAGGATATACACAGCAATACACATCCCTATAAATCCTAAAGGCTAGTACAAATTCAGGTACTGACAGCCTTTTGTTCAATATGCATATGTCCTGTTCTCAATGACATCCTGGGAGGCAATTAGGAGTGAGACCAGGTTAACATCCTTGCCCTCCAAGATTTCTTTCTTGAGATTAGCCAGGACCATATGCAATGGGTTGATAAACTCAAGGACCTTCAGTGGAACAAGAGAATTACCCGGAAGATGAACCAGCTGAAATAGGATCGGCGGGACAAGCAGGCAATTAGAGGAGCAGACTTATTATAATTTCTCCAGTCTATTATTAATAAGTCCAATAGAAAACAATAATCAGTTCATCATGGCATGGACATCAGGCTGCTGGAACCCACTAGACCCTTCCCCTGCATCTGAGTTGTCGGTGGTGGTATTCAGAAGTCTAAATAATTCTGCTTTCCTGGCAGTAGCGGAAAGTGGAATACACCTTCTACGGAGCTCAGCTGTAAGAAGCGGAATAGTCCAGTATCTGAGGGAAGATGGACTAGTTACATCTGCTCCATGGGCAGATTTATCAGACCTAGCTGGGGTGCTGGGAAGGGACAGTTCTTCCACCACTTTGGGAACCTGAGACATACTGAAATATATATATATTTCACAGAACATTGTGGCAGGGTGTTGGCCTCTCGGTGACAAAGCAGATGAAAGTGTGGGAGTAACATTTGAGGCACTCTCTATGCAACAGTGCGAGGCGAATATCTATGCGTCGAGCCGATGGGCGTACACCTCTAAGTATGAGGATGGGTGTATGGGTGCCTATGGCATAGATGCAGGAAAACATAAATTTTTATGACACCTGGATCCCTGAAAGCCAGTAACCTCTGCTAATAAGGAACTATGAACCTTAGTAATTATAAATGTCGTACCTGACAGTAGGAATCTGAAATGATGATTCCCAGTAGAAGTAGAGTAAGGAGGGTGGGTGTAGTAAGGCACAGCAACCTAAAGATTAAAACATAGATGTCAGGGGTGACGGCCTGGAGACTGGAACCCAGTATGCCTGAAGATGGTAGGAGTTATAGTGTGAATATGAACAGTCAGGGTCTGGTGCAGGGTAACCACATGTCCCCTGGTGTTGAGCACCAAGGTTTGTGTGGCCACATACCAGGGCCCCGAAGCAGCTGTTGTGGGTCCCAGGAGCTAGATAACATGGAGCAGGTGTTAAACATTCCTAGTGGGTGGTGATTTTAAGAGTTATATAAGGTTTGTTGCCATTAGCTTGGCTAATATAGCTTGGTTGCTACTTCTAAGTGCTGTTTCTAAGTGTGTAGTTGGAGATATTCTGGAGAGTTTTACAGAAGCTTCAACTGTCTAAGAGTTGTGCTAAGAGCTTTCTTTTCTACTGTTACAGGTAAGATTCATCTGTAGGAAAAGGTTACTGATTGCACAGGGTTTGAATTCCTGTTGGTAATTATAAGGCATTTGATTTGATTAAGCTAGTTACTTGCTATTGATTGCTGGTTAATTAGCTATTGTTTGCAAATAAGCAGAGGCCTACCCAGGTGTTAAACATTCCTAGTGGGTGGTGATTTTAGGAGTTATATAAGGCTTGTTGTCATTAGCTTGGCTAATATAGCTTGGTTGCTTCACCTAAGTGTTGCTTCCAAGTGTGTAGTTGGAGATATTCTGGAGAGTGTTGCTTCTAAGTGTGTAGTTGGAGATATTCAGGAGATAAACTGGAGGTAATCTGAGGTATTCAGGAGGATAAAGAAAAAAGTTAAGATTAGTTTGAGTTAAATTATTTTCCTCATTGGAATGGCAGACTTAGTTCAGTGTAATAGTTGCTATGCATTTGTTTCACGGTCTACTTTTTGGAGATTTGGTTGTTGTCTAATCTGTAGACAGTTCTCTATTTTGCGGCAGGAGATTGTATTTTTGAAGTCTGAGATTTGTAAATTATCTGGTGAACAAACTCAGACTGGAACTGCTGCAAAGCCACTGCCGCAAAGACATACTAGGAATGGCAGATGGATTACTGTAGGATCTGGTAGACTTAGAGTTGTGGATAAAAGGCATTTTGCACAGTCTGTTGCTCTTCATAATTCATTTTCTGCACTTTCAGAGTGTAATGGTGTTGTGGAGAGAGGCACTGAGGCTAGTGGTGTTGTGGAGAGAGGCACTGATACTAGTGGTGTTGTGGAGACCGGCTTGAAGACTATGGTGAGGCCTAATAGAAAGCAGTTGTTGTTGGGGGATTCCATCATAAGAGGTGTGGAGATGGACAATGGAGGTCTTGTGAGGTGTCTTCCCGGAGCTACTGCTCACAGAGACAGGAGAAGTATCTGTAATATTGTTAAGCAAGCAAAGCAGGAAGGGGAATTGGATGTACTTGTCCATCTAGGGACAAATGACTTGGCTTGCAATGAGGTTTCAGAGGTTAAGGAAGTTTTTAGTGTTTTTGCCAATGATATACGGCAGGTTGCTTCCACACTGTCATTCTCTGAAGTTCTGCCTGTGCATAACACTCAGAACGACAGGCGGATGCGTATTAGGGACTTTAATTTGTGGCTTGGTGAATGGTGTCGGGAGCAAGGATTTGGCTTTATTTCTCATGGTAGCTCTGTTTGGAATGGAGATAAGCTGTACAAAAAAGATAGTTTGCATCTTTCTCAAAAGGGAACAAATGTTCTCAGTGAGCAGTTCAGAGATTTTGCTAGGATGTATTTAAACTAGGAGGGGGGGGCAAAAGGGTGATAAAACATCAATCCAATTGTCCCCCAAAACAAGGACAGAAGGTGCCTGTAGCAAGTGTGTTAAAAAAATGATAAGCTTAGAGTCATGTCTACAAATGCTCGCAGTTTAGAGAATAAGATCCATGAACTTGTGGCAATAATGGCAACTGATAGTGTAGATTTAGTCGCTGTTACTGAGACATGGTATAATGAGAAAAATGACTGGAACATAGCAAAACCAGGGTACTCTCTGTATAGGAAAGATAGGGAAGGCAAGAAAGGGGGAGGGGTGGCCTTGTATGTAATAAAAGTTAGTGAGGCAAACATAGAGTCCGTTTACACATATTCTAACTGGAACAGTTTAAATAGAGTCCAACAGAAATGGGATTATTTAAAAGTTACACTACTGAGGGCAACAGAAAAATGCATTAGGCTTTTCAGTAAAAGCAAAAAAACTTACATTTCAACTGTCTAAAGTAAAGACATATTACTACTTGCTTATATTTAATTTTATATATTATCTCTGTGGCACCACCATTTTCTCTTTCCTTATACCTAAATACCTATAGGGCCTGTCTTTTAGATGTGCTGCCTTTATTTTAGTTTTTAAGCACTGATCCTTCTGTACACTTTTCACGTAGATGGGCTGAATGGTTCTTATCGTCCATCACATTCTATGTTTCTATGTTTCTATGTATGGTACGGATGGGAGTTAGGAGCAAGCAGTCAAGAACTGCACCCTCCAGGGGGATTACAGGTGTTTTCTGTGTTGCCTCTTGTTTCTTAATACTTCTTCATTTCTTTCTTTTGTTAATATTTTTCTCTTTTTCCTTCCTCTTCCATGGATTAGGATTATGCTTCACCTGAAGCATACATGGGAGATGGGGTGGAACTGATTAGGTTCTCTGTATGTTTTATATATTCAAACTTTAAGACTGGCTTACTGGGGGGCGGGGCTTGGAGGCCATGCTGAAAGGTCGTAGGTTGCATGAGCTCCTGCTTCAAATCGACTAAACAGCAATCTGTGTCACTCAAAAGGCGACCTAAAGCTACACAAATACCACCAAAAGCAAGGGGACAACGGGGTGCACAAGTTGGTACCCGACAAGCGACGTTACTAGTGATACGCACCCGACACCCCAGCGAGGCCTACCAGCATGGCGGGCACAAGAGAGACGGCCGCTCTCCTGCCGCCAACGACGGTGAGAACCTCGACCCAGAGCCCTCGTTCCCCCCCTATGGTCCGGCGGGGGTTATCGCTGACCACCCTCTTGCAATCCCAAGCGACAAATCCGAGCCCAAACAGGGGCGAAAGGGCCCAGCTAAGATGGCGGCGCGAGCACAGCGCGGGAAGAAACACTCCCCTCCCAAGCCACCCAAGCACACAACGGAGTTCTTCAACAGGCTCCGTTCATACCTGTGGGAGAAGCTTAATGCCAGGAGACGGCCATTCCGAATGGCGGTGAAAGCGCTGGCAGCGTGGATCCGCCCTGCGACTCGCCGTTGCCTGCAGTGGAACCCCCCACGGGGCTCCAGCCTGGCATCCCGACAGGCCAATACACGCACCTTTAAAATCGAGAATGGAACCCGCAAGAGTACCCGACCTGCACACCAACAGGCGATCTTGGCAACAACTATCCCGCTAAGCGCCACCCGACAGAGGAGGTCAAGCAGAGCCGACAGCGATAATGATCACACTGCGGAGCCGCCCAACGGGAACATTCCAGGCCGGAGGGCTCTCCTGAAAGACGGAGCCCCATCAAGGTACCCACCTTTCCAGCCAAATCGGAACCTCATGGGGGTACCAGCTGAGCCCAACAGCCAAAGCGACAGAGCCGGAGTCGGCTAAAAAGGGCGGACTGAATAAGAGACAATTTGTGCCCCTGCAAACCATGCAGTGAAATACTGCAGGTCTCCACCGCACAGACTGTCCCATATAAGTTCATACAGAATAATACTCATATAGCAATGTTATTCGTATTGGCACCTAGGCCCAGTAGGGGTCCTGACATGATGTTTAGCATAAAGTAGTAGCTAATGAAACACTCTGAACAAAATGGACTAGCACAGTATGTTGACTGATCAGCAAATATGCAGACTAAGCCTAAATATAGTTTTAAGCATACACTTTAAAGCCGATTACTTCATGTCAGACATTATTGTATAGCCGGTTGTGTTTTCTAAATTTTATTAATCTTCATGCTACAGCCTAGGCCCAACAAACGTGCGACCTAGTATAACCTGCAGTTTAAAGTTGCAGACAGTTCCTAGTACAAGCCTGTAGTACTCACTTGAATTTCTACCTATGCATAGTCAATGATGTCATCAGATCAGCAAATGTGCAACATAAGCCTAATTATGGTTTTAAGCATACACTATGAAGTCGGTGACTTCAGCAGAATGATAGAATTCATGTGGTCAGATGTTACTGTATAGCCTGTTGTGTTTTTCTTTTTTTTTTTCTTAATTTTATTAATCTTAATGCTATATGCATAATCTATGATGTCAACTGACCGGCAAACGTGCAGACTAAGCCTAATTATAGTATTAAGCATCCACTTTGAAGTCGATGACTTAAGCAGAATAGGATAGAATTCAAGTGGTCAGACGTTTTTGTATAGCCTGTTGTTTAGACTGTATCTAATGTGCCAAGAATTGTGCAAAGTCCTGCTATAGCCTAATCTTACTTAAACTAACACTAAAAATGTGCAAGAACTAATATATACCTCACTGTACTTAATGTTTGAAAAAAGCATGAGGATTGCCTTTGGGGTACCGCATGCACGTTCTGTTACGTTTCTATGCACTACAAAAATAAAGAATAAAAAAAAAAAAAAAGACTGGCTTACTCTATGATGTACAGATATTAGGGATAGTTGTATGTTTTGATGTTGCACTAGGTTTATTTTCTTTAGCGTTGTTAATTCTCTTTTATATATATATATATATGCTTACACTCCCTAGGGACTTGTGTATCCTCTCTTTTGTTTTTGTTTTGTTTCTTCTCTTTATTGAATTTTTTTAAATTAAATCGGACTATAAAAGATTTCCCTAGGAGGGGAGGTGAACCATAGGGCAGACTGGGTGTGCCTATCTTCCCCTGCACACTGCAACCCATGTGGAGCAGCTGCTGTGGCTGTCGTGAACTGCAGACTTCGGTGGCGGCCAGGAGGAGTGCTCGGCGCATCCCTCACTTCCTGCATCTCCAAGCATGCCATGTCAAAACCATTCCTGCATGCTATTAATGAAGACGTAGCTGGTGAAGACTGTAAGCCAGTGAGTGCACTTCACCATATATTTATGGAGTGCTCCTACTGGCCAACATGACTTCCTATCCTTATGGCATGTTGGTGGCAACTACCCCGTGTCTAGGTTGGGTTGTGGCATATGAGACTAGGAGTGCCTCTGTAGGGTAGCAGGGATATTGAACTATCCTGTAGCATGCTGAAAGCACACTTTAGCAAATATATGGCAGACAATCAGACAAATTGAGTCAAATTGATTGGGAGTGCAGACAGGTACCAATATGCACATTGGGTTTGAACTTCATTCAGACAACATAGTTTCATATCTTCAGTTCCTGACACTGTTTAACAACTTAATGTGTTGCTTTTAATTTACATTCTACAATATTATTAGTTTGATGTAAATAGATAAACAAGTCATAATTGGTTGCATATTTTGTAAAATCAGTAACACAACCAGCAACATATCTTTAAAGAGACATTTAAGCATTAGAATACTGATCAATAGTTAAACAAACATACTTAGTAATGGAAGAAAAGATTGCCCCCTTTTTAGTATATGCATTACACTCTTGTTTTTTTAAGCTTAGTAGTAATGATAATTAATTGCTATCCCAATTAAAGTTACTTAATAATCTTTGTTACACCAATGTTGCACGTCTCTAGTTAGAATACATCATGCCAATAGTTAATGGGGTAGGATATGCAAAGACTGGAACTTTTGATTAATGTTAAACATTATTTTAGGAAATCTTCACTAAGCGTATGTCTGCGAGTTAAAGTCCTATCAGTGGTGGGCAAGAAACCTAAAATAGCTATTGCAGGACTCCCAACATTCCCAAGACATAGAACAAACATTAGGACAGAGCATTTAAAAAAAAATGTTTTGTATTATTTAGTGTTACTTTTTTTGGAAGGTTGACATTATTATTTAAGATATAGAAATAATGTGCAAATGGGGGAATAAAGAGTTTAAAAACTTTAAAAAATTTAGTTAAAAAAGTCTTTAGCAGGTGCTCTTAGTAAATTACATGCAAAATCTACTTCAATCTTTTTAGTAAGTTTTCTTTGACTTGTGGGATCACATATTTAATAAAACGGTTAAATGCAAAATTTGGTTAAGGTGCTGTAGTTCCTAAGGGACAACTAGTGGAAACTCATCTGAGTGAAACAGAACAGGAAAAAAAGTGAGATTCTAATATCTTGTTAATTGATTTACAAGATCAGTGAGAATGGGAAATTAGCAAGGAGAAATAGCAGAGAATTTGTAATTAACCAGAAATGGATACAGTAAGCACAGAAAAAGTGGAATAAGCCGGGGAAAAGAAAACAGCAGTGGGCTTTTAATTACCAGCAAATTGATGAGGAAGATAGAGAAAAAATGAATGAGGCAAGGGCAACTGAATAAAGTGTAACTCTAATTAACTATGAGAAGCAAATAAAAAAAAAAAAAACTCTGGGAATACATTTAATGTGCCCAAAAGACTATAATTAGATGTAAATAACATCAAATAATAAATAAAAAAGGTAACACACCTTAAGACAAATATGAACTATAACTAAATGTTATTATTCATGTATTTTTTTAATTGTATTTTGTTCATTAGGTTTAAATTAGTATTAAAATGAATCATGCTAAAGATTGAAAACATATATTTTTAAAACCTTTGCTTCATTAATCCTGTATTACTTACTATTTTAATAAAGTATCATACCTTACTAATGTCTGCACTTTTAGAAAAAGCCACTAAAGCACAGCTTCAGCTGAACCACATACTCAGTATTCCACCTAGTAATTTTAAAGTGTAGAATCTTCTGTATAGTTAAACAAAATGTCAGGAAAAAAAACACTGACATGTTTAACATAGTTAACAGATATCACACAGGGATCAGTACACTATTTTGTATATGTGTATTTTCACTTTAGCAAAAGAAAAAAAGTATACACCTCCAAATACAACAATACAAATTGTTTGATTTTTTAAATTTAAAATCATACAATGTCAAGTATATAACCACAATCACAAGTTGTAAGTCGACATTGGCAGTCAGTAAGGAGTTTAGAGATCAATATTTCCATTCACCAGGATTAATGTGAGAACCTTCAGAGTAGTTGAAGGTGAGAAACTGGAATAATGAAGGAACCAAAAAGCACGATGTCCCACAGAGTGTATAGTCATACTAATCCGAGGCAGACACAGAAAGTATTACAATATACATTAGGTCTATTAGACCCACATAAGGGCAAGTAGACAACCTCTACATCAAGCATGTGAAACTCAAAGGCTAAGACGGGCTAAATAAACAAGGTTTAAATTTATGTCGGCCAAAAAAAAATAAAAAAAAGTAACTTTTCATAGAAACGTAGGTTAATTTAGAAAAGTACAGTATGAAAAAGTTGCCTGACATTGGACGTCCTAACGCTTGTAGGGCTTCAAAGTAAACAAAAGAGCAAATTTATTTTAAGGAGACCTGCATTTGTATATAACCAACATTTCAGTCCAACTACCTTGACATATTAAGAAATGTTTGGTAATGAGACTGAAATGGCGAATGTATGCTGTTGCCCAGTTGTAAAAAAAAAACAAATTATGTTATTTTGTTTATTTTGAAGTTCTATGAGTGTGTTCTTCACTTTGGCTGAGATCATCAAACTTGATGATCTCAGCCAATCCAATCATTTCCAATAGGAAAGCATTGAGAGGCTATTGTGCATGTGTGGCAAAAAAAAAAATCAGCATCTCCATTGGGAGCGTAAAACTCCTCCATGCAGACCCAGTCTAATACACTGCTCCCTCCCCCCATTCTAATACACTGCCCCCAAATCCAATACACTGCCCCCTCCCTCCACTCTTATACACTACCCCCTTCAGCCAATATAATACATTGCCCCTTAATTCAATACACTGCCCCTCCTCCCTCCACTCTAGTTGAATAGACGGCCCCCACTCCACTTTAATACACTGTCCTCCCTACTCCTAATTTAACACACTGCCCCCCATCACTCTAATACACTGGCCCCCTCCCTCCAATAAATAAATACACAGCCCCCTTCATACCTTAAATAAATACACTGCCCCCCTTCCCAATTTAATATACTGCCCCTCCCTCATTCCCCAAATTAATACAGTGCTCCCTCCTTCCCTCAAATTAATACACTGCCCCTTTCCTCCCATTAATATAATGCCCCCCTCACTCCTATTAATACGCCCTCCCCAATTTAATACACTGGCCCCTCCCTCCCCCCAAGTTTAATACACTGGCCCCACCCCCAAGTCAATACCCTCTCTTAAATTAATAAACTGCACCCCCCAATTTAACACACTGCCACCCCCCCACCACGATTCTAATACACTGGCCCCATCCTTCAAATTAATACACTGCCCCCCTCCCTCAAATTAATATAATGGCCCCCTCCATCCCCAAATTAATATACTGGCCAACTCCTTCCCTCAAATTAATATACTGGCCCCCTCCCTCAAATTAATATACTGCCCCTCTCCCTACCCAAATGAATATACTGGCCCCTCCCCAAATTAATATACTGGCCAACTCCCTCCCTCAAATTAATATACTGGCCCCCTCCCTCCTGCAAATTAATAAATATACTGCCCCTCTCCCTCCCCAAATTAATATACTGACCCCCTTCCAAAAATAATATACTGGCCCCCTCCCTCAAATTAATACACTGCCCCCCTCCCTCCTGCAAATTAATATACTGCCCCTCTCCCTCCCCAAATTAATATACTGACCCCCTTCCAAAAATAATATACTGGCCCCCTCCCTCCTGCAAATTAATATACTGCCCCTCTCCCTCCCCAAATTAATATACTGACCCCTTCCAAAAATAATATACTGGCCCCCTCCCTCAAATTAATATACTGGCCCCCTCCCTCCTGCAAATTAATATACTGCCTCTCTCCCTTCCCAAATTAATATACTGACCCCCTTTCAAAAATAATATACTGGCCCCCTCCCTCAAATTAATACACTGCCCCCCTCCCCCAACCTTACGATTAGTGGTCCGTCATCCAGCTCCAGCCCTGCTCAAGCAGGCCAGACGCTCCTCTGGCTCTGTGAGCAGGAGGTAAGGGGGAGTGGCTGCTCTGGTCTGCTCAGCAGACACACAGCCACACTGCCCTCTTGTGGCTAGGAGAGCAAGAATCAGGATATATTTTCCTGCCTTGCTGGTCACAGCCACAGCTGAAAGCAGCTCCAGGACAGGCGGGCCCATCAGTCTCATGACTCATCAGTCATATCTTAAATTCTTATGAATGGATTATTTTAGGAGAGTTGGGTTTTTCTCTGCTCACTAAATAGAAATTCCTCTACTGAAGGCTAAAGTAATATTACTATTCATTAAGCCTGGTGAATTCTTGCTCTGCTAAGAGAATCCAACCCTTTGTGTTTATAACATGAATGCCTTTGCATGCAGCTGCTAGCTTCAATCCTGAAGCTCGGCTTATATGCAATGTTGACTCCATTGTCTCAGAGGATAGGTAGCCTTTTAAATCTTCACAAGTCCATATTTAAAGAGGATATAAGAAATACAATATCACTTGACATATTTTGTCAATACCGTTAC